CCTCCCCCCTCCCCCATCCCCCACAAGCAACCCACCTCTTCCCCCATCCCGCCCTTTTCTCTGCACGTATTCCCGTTTCTCTCATTATCCACCCTTCATCCCTCTCTCTCCCTCTGTCCACGCTTCCACCAGTGAACGGTCAATGTTCCAGACCGTGTTCTGGTCAATCTACGGTCGTGGAAAGCGAGAAGCCGTGACCCTAGGCGCCTACAACAACCAGCTGACGGAGGTGATAGGCGAGCTTATCGACGCCATGTACCACATCACCATCGTCATCGTCCTCCTCAACATTCTCATCGCCATGATGTCGCGCTCCTTCGAGAAGATTGCTGTAAGATGATGAGCTTTTAGATATCTATCTGTAGATCATCTCTCTCTCTGTCTCTCTGTCTCTCTGTCTGTCTCTCTCTCTCTCTCTCTCTCTCTCTGTCTCTCTCTCTCTCTCTCTCTCTTTCTATATATATATATATATATATATATATATATATATATATATATATATATATATATATATATATATATATATCTACCTCTCTATCTAGCTGCCTATCTATCTAATTATCTAATCTATCTTAAATTTTTCAATATCTTTTAAATAGTGGAAGAGTGTAGGAAGTGAACAAGACAGAAAATGTAACAGATAGATATATAGATAGGTAGAGAGATAGATACAGAAATCGATGTACAGAAAAGTGGTAAGACATGGAATAACATCAAGAGGCTAGCCCAGGATAGAGAAAGGTGGAAGATGTTTGTCCGTGGCCTATACCCTGGTGCAGGGTGAGAAAGGCAATGATGATGAGAAAGATAGGTAGATAGACTGATAGATAGATAGAGAGAGAGGGGGGAGAGAGATAGAGAGAGAGGTAGAGAGAGAGAGGAAGAGAGAGAAGGAGAGAGAGAGAGAGAGAGAGAGAGAGAGAGAGAGAGAGAGAGAGAGAGAGAGAGAGAGAGAGAAGGAAACCTCGACAGACGTAGAGACTGACAGACAAAGAACATTTTAAGCGTGCAACAAAAAAAAATAAAAATAAAAGAACCCAAAAATCGCGGACGCACTTTATTTCACCATTCCCCCTTTTTAAAAATCCACCAACTTCAAACCGTTTTTCCAACACAATGAACAGAACAGCAATAACAAAGCAATAAAAGATACAATGGCCTCGATTATGCCATTGCGTAGAGGGTACATAATAAATGTGTCATGACATTGTGGAATCAGGCGCTCGTCAATTTTGGTATATATGGAGTTATTTGGATCATCTTATAGACTATAGCCTCTTCATTTTTCTTGCTTTTGAAAAAAAAATATCCATCGATCTTGAATAGCAGTCGAGATATTTGGGATTGAAGATGGTGTTGTTGCCTGGTTTCAGACGTAAAATTAGCGAGGAAATGGCCGCCAAAGTATGCCGACTGCTATAGCTAGAGAGTCCTTGGAAGCTGAAAATGTACATTTTTTGTGTCTTCAATCAACGTGTTCCAGGAAAATCCGTACAGAAATATCTTTTTAAATAGACATAAAAGGCGTTGAACCATTAAAAAGATTAATTCGAAAAGAATTCCCAAACATGTGTAAAAATACAATGTATACCGGTTTCTTTGATTTCATTATTTCGACAAACGCCTGATGTCTCACAAATATCTCAGTAAAAGCTCCCAGCGTGACCCCCGCCTCCTACTGATTCATTCTCGTGCTTGTCGAATGTCGAGTAGATCGTAGGCCTACCTGCTGGATATCCGGGCAGATCAATAGATCGGCAATTCCTGCTCTCAAATGACAACAAACTGGTGATGAGTTCTCGACCTTAAAGGGGGGGGGGGGGGGGGGGGCTACACCTGAAGGCTATCTCGCTTATTACTCGACCGAATTTTACCAAATTTCACACATATAACAAGCATAGTAAGGAGTCTTAAAATCCGCAATCAAATTTGAGAAAAAAGTTTGTTTCCATGGAAACGGTGGCCATATTGGATTTTGTTGACATGTCTTACGTAATGAATACCGCACTTATCGCTTATGGAAATTGATTGGGGTTTTTTGCATTCGTGTTCACAAACATTAGATCTAAACATTTGTCTGTTGTTTTTTTCCTAAACGAATTACAAACATTTTTATGAATTTTTTTCCTGAGGTAGCATTCAGGTTGCGAAAA